ACACACACACACACACACACACACACACACACACACACACACACACACACAAACTCTGGGCTTCATGGAGGTGGGGGTAGCTTGACATCCAAGAGACTATAAGCAAAAATGTTCCAGAAGATTCCACAGAGGATAAAGAGTGTGTAGACACTGAAGAAGATCCAGAATAAGGACTGTTCCTGCAAACGCTGTTCATAGTTCTGAAGAACCACAACGCCAAGGGTGAGGCCCACTGCCACACCCCCCAGATGGGCCACAAAGCTGGGATTAGGGCATGGCGGGAAGGCTGGGGGATAGAATCGAAGCCAGACGGCACGACCAAACTCCACACTCACTGTAGATACAGAAAGCGATGTGAAGGTTTACATATATTACACATTTCATTTAAAAAAGACAGCAAATCTTCAATACAGTAAACTTAAAAGTGCACTAAGTAAATTTTTTGTTTATGTTTTGCTTATGTTTATATTTTTAAGTTTGAACTTATACTGACAGTGGATGCAAAAGGTTTCAGTTATCCGTGTCATTGTAGAAATGTTCTATTCGCAGGTATTTGGTACCTATAATTATTGATAGGCCAAGATGAAGTGAGTAGCATTCAGCTGGTCATCTTATCTAGTAAACCACCTTATGTACAATACAATTGTGGGGAAAATGACTTAATGCAGTTTCATTGATTAGAACAATTCTGCACATACTGTATCATCCTAGTTCTGGAAGAACTGGACTATTATCATGAGTATGCTCTGTTTTGTTTTTGTTCTAGTGTTCATGTTGTTCCCATTTTCCTGCTACTTTTTTATTTGTTCCAATGGCTTCTGTTTTAACTTCACACCTGTTCCACTGATTATTCCCTCTGTGTATTTAAGTTCTTTCTGTTCATTGTTCAGTGCTGTCTGTGATTTTGTGTAGTTTGTGGTGTTGATTTTCCTGGCTAAATGGTTGAGCATATGAACTACAACCCCTGACAACTATTTTAAAATTCTGTTTTTCATGCTGAATTTAAAGTCAAGCATTGCAAAATTATAAAATGGATTTTTGACATTTACATTATATCTACTATTTTTAAAGATTAAAAGTGAAAAGATTAAAAGTTAAAATATTTATGGAATAGTTAATAAAAAAACATATAATGAGGAAATGAGAATGCACAATTAAATATCCAATAAATAAATAAATAAATAAAATAAAAAATCAGCCGATAAGCAATATATATATATATATATATATACATATATACATACTTACACACATTTTGTTAATCCCCCTGAATTACAGTTTCATAAACAAAAAACTATTTTAGCATGAATAACATAAAAAAACAGTTTACATACTGCACACCAGAGCCATTGCCATGCGAAAGAGCTTGAACTGACACTTCATCCCTGACCAGTTCTGTGAAGAGAGGGAGAGAAACATCAAATTAGGAGAAATGAAAAGAAAATTGGTAGTTAAGAGAGAAAACACTTCAGTATTTGTTCGTAGACAGTTCTGGTGTTGTTCCAGGGAATTGGTTTAGGTACCCCATTTTTTCAAGGTTGCTTCAGACTGAGAAGGATACTTTTTCTGGCATTTTCAGTGATGCGGTGACATCTGGCAAAGGGAGCAGCATTAGCACCTGTTATTCTTCAGCTAATTCAAGATTTGGCTTGCTGTTTTGCGGGTTTTATAAATAATAACCGAGTCAAATTTGATTTGACATAATGAAAGATCAGTTTTTGTTGTAGACAGATTATGTGTAATCTGAGTCCATACCATGTAACAGTGTTGACTCTAAAAGTTCTATCTGAAATGCTGAGCAAGTAAAGAAGGGTTTATTATCTGACTGGAGGGAACTGTGGACAGTCCTGGTGATAATATTTAATGACTCTGACCAGGTCAGTACAAAACACCTCCATTCACTTAGAGAGAAGGTCAAAGCTTCGGGCAGCAGCACAGAGGTCTTTGATTGGTCAGTGACAGAGGAGGAGGAGCTACAAACTAGACAATTATTGTATTGTATTATTTTGAAATGTATATATAAGTTACACAATGTACTATATATTGATTCTTTATTGACTGTGATGGTGCAAGAGAAAAAAACAAAATTATGTTTCTGGGGAAAATTAGGCATTGGTTCTGTTCAGGCACTGAAGAAAACAGCAACAAGAAGTGAACAACTAATAAAAGTATAACGTATTTATGCAGTGACCAAAACAAACACAACCTATTATACAGTGCCCTCTACTAATATTGGCACCCTTGGTAAATATGAGCAAAGGCAGCTGTGAAAATAAATCTACATCATTTATCTTTTTGATCTTTCATTCAAAAACTACACAAAATTCTAACCTTTCATTGAAGTAAAACAATGAAAAGTGGGGGGAAACTCACATAATGAAATGAATGTTTTTCTCCAATACAAGTAGGCACCCCAGCAAATTCCCATGAGTAAAATAACTCTGAAGTATATTCCCATTCATATTAATTTATTTTTAGCACACCAGGGTGACTATAGGAGCATGAAATTGCCAAGCCATGACTTCCTGTTCCACAGGATTATAAATAGAAGGACACAAAGGCCAAATTCCCTTAATCATCCATCACAAAGAGTAAAACCAAAGAATACAGTCCTGATGTGCAGAACAAGATTGTTGAGGTTCAGAAATAGAAAGTAGCTAAAGATGTTACAAATCGTGCTTCACGCGGGGGTTAACGACACCAAGCTGCGGCAGACGGAGACACTGAAGAGGGACTTCAGGAGCCTGATCGAGACAGTGTGCCGCACATCGCCCGCGACGACGTTCATCGTGTCAGGACCGCTTCCCACGTATCGACGAGGACACGAAAGGTTCAGTAGACTTTTTGCTTTAAATGAATGCTTATTGTCATGGTGTAAAGAACAGAAACTGCCCTTTGTTAATAATTGGAATCTTTTCTGGGAGCGTCCTAGGCTTTTTCGCGCTGATGGCCTGCACCCCAGCAGAGTCGGAGCGGAACTCATGTCAACACCATATTGAATTGAATTGAAAAACTTGAATTACAAATCTGCCTGGAAGAGGACGTGTGTCTATGTCATCCTAATGCACGGTGAGGAGGCGAGTTTGAGTGGCCAAAGACTCTCCCAGGATCACAGCTGGAGAATCACAGAGATTAGTTGAGTCTTGGGGTCAGAAGGCTTAAAAAAAATCACATAGCCCCTACATCACCACATGTTGTTCAGGAGGGTATCAAGAAAAATCCTCCTCGCTCATCCAAGACACAACTGGAACATCAACAGGACTGGCTTCTATGGTCAGATGAAACTTTAAAAAGAGCTTTTTGGCAGCAAACCCACTAGATGGGTTTGGTGCAAACAGGGATACAAATACCCCATGCCCACGGTTAAATATGCCGCTAGATCTTTAATCAACACAAAAATGTGTTACTGAGCACAAAATGAAGCTTCTGCCATGGCTGTCATAGTTCCCTGACCTGAACCTTATAGAAAATGAGTGGGGTGAACTGAAGAGAAGAAGCACCTACATGGAGCTGGGAATCTGAAGGATCTGGAGTGATTCTGTGTCTCTGATGTCTTTTTAGGTGATCTCCAAACTCATCAGACATTATAGGAGAAAACTCAGAGCTGTTATCTTGGGAAAAAGACGTTACAATAATTGGGTGCCAATAATTGTGGCCACCATGAACTAGAGAATAACATTTATTTCATAATAGGATTTTTTGAATGAAAGATCAAAAGGATAAATGATGCAGATTTATTTTCACAGTCACCTTTGCTCATATTTACCAAGGGTGCCAATATTAGTGGAGGGCACTGTATATATCATATGCATGGCTAAAAGACGAACCTTGCAATCTTTCAGACATTTGATAATCTGTGTCTGAAATAAAGGTGGAAAAAGAGGCCGATGAATCAGGCACATACACGTCAGAGGGTTAATAGCTTGTGACAAGAGACATCAGGCTGAACTTCACACTCATTATTTATCTTGACAGTCTGGGTCATGGGCATCCTGATATTTTTCAAAAGAGATTTTAAACAGGAGCTGAATTAAGATTGAAGTCTATATTCTACACATACAGTACCACTTAGTGTCACCACTGTGATTAATAAATTATTTGATATTTTTAAGCATAATATTGATGCTGAACAATATTAATTCTCTAAATTTTCTATATAGTCATTTCTTGATTACCATGACAACGTTGGCTAGGTGGGCAGAGACCAGAGCGTAGACTCCGCCTGATGAACCGACCACAGGTGCTGTCATGTCAGCCACTGACACAGCCAATGAACCTGCAGGAAGACAATGCAGACAAGAGTCACCATGACACAAACATGTTCAGGCATCACTAATATTTTCACTTTCTTTTAAAGTGGAATCAAAATCATATGAAACAAAAACCATTGTTAACCACTGACCAAATGACATTTGAACTAATGATGGCAAATGAGATTTAAAAGCCGGCAAATGGAAAGAGTATCAATGAACAATGACTTAAAAGCTATCGTAAATTCATTAGACATTCTGCCTAAAATCTCCTTTTGTGTTTCCCAGAAGAAAGAAAATAATGGGGATGGAATGGGTGTGAAAACTACAAAATTGTAATAAAATTGTAATTATTCCTTAATGTGGGTGTTTTAAATAAAATCAGAACAAACTGAAACCCAATTTACTGTATCAAGGCATCCCTGTGAAGATTTTATTCATAACACATGACTCTTGAGACTTTATGATAGAAATTTAAATAGAACATATTTTAAAAATATATATTTATTATAATTTCTTATTTATTATGTACAATTATTAATTTAAAAATGCAGGTTGCACAATGTACCATATGTTTATTCTGTTTCAAGTGTGTAATGCATTTACATTAACATTTAGTCATTTAGCAGACGCTTTTATCCAAAGCGACTTACAAATGAGGACAATAAAAGCAGTCAAAACTAACAAAAACAAGTGTAAAAAGTATGACGTCTGTATGTGGAGACATGCAACCTCTAATTACTATATCAAGTTTCTCTAGGCAGAGAATGGCAGTTCCTTGTAAAGGTGTAATTATGTACATCCACATTCACACAGAGTGAATACACATACCACATCCATGAGCTAATAAAGGAATTTAATTGTGCAGAAGAACCATCAGATTTTAAAAGTATAGTTCACTAAAAAATGAAAATTATGTCATCATTTACTCACCCTCATGTGAGTAACTCAATAATGTAACAACATATTTACGATTGGGGAGAAGCTAATGTAATAAATGTAATAATGTAAGAATAAAAAAAATATATATAATGACCATTAATCTGAATATTCGGGACACGCTCCCCTCATGGTTTTTACATACTGCACTTCTGTTGCAGAAATATATTGTATTTTAGGCTTCAAAGCTGTTAATATTTGTATTTATTTATTTATTGGTTGATTGATGAAATGAATAAATATATAAAGATATCAATATCAGATATTGCATTCTTTACACTTAGTTAGCTTGGTTCAGTCTTTTCTCTTTGTAAAAACAGACGGTATTTATACAACAATATCCGTCCTTTCATTTGTGAAGCTTTTTCTCTGAAATGCCACTCAGTTTAGGCATAAGATCAGACCAGGTAAGTCCTCTGGCTTTGTAATTCAAAAAGGTTTTTGACAAAGTAGTGCAGTATAAAATTGGTCAACTTTACATAACTAGACTGGTTTATATATGCTACAAGCTCTACAAACAGCATTAAGCATTTCAACTTCTAACTTGCGCTTTTTCCAAAATATTCCAAAAATGTATGACTAATTTCCCAGCTCTGGGTCTGGGCTGCAGTAAAGTGAGGGCTGGGGTTAAACTCCCCCCTCATGACATCTGCTGCTGATTCTCCAGGAGTACACACACACACACACACACAAACACACACACACACACACTCACATTAGCTGCTAATGTCATCAGGGAGAATGAAATGATATTTCCACTTCAAATAAAACCCTACAGCTGATGGAAAATGCAGGTGGACTTGGCCCAGTCTGTTGTGATTGGTCTACCGCAAACAGTGGATGTCGGAAACTAAACTCCCATATAGAATGCCAGCTCAGAAGGCTTCCACAGCAGTTTTATACATATTGATGTAAACAAATGTTGCTCCACATTTTATCACTACTCAAAGTAGTAAGAACGACAGACAGTCTGCATTAATTAACACAATTTTAGGTAATAGTGGGCCCACATTATTTCAAGACAATAATTTGAGTTAGCAGAATGTTACAGCTGTGCACTGGATGTACACATATAAAAAAACTACATATTTTGAATACTTGGTAGAAAATATGTACATAAATGATTAATCATACTTACAGGTTGTGACTCAGAGGCACAAGATGGTACACTGTAAAATCCAATAGTTTACCTTACTTAGATTTAATTAGTTATCTTTACTTAGTTGTTATACTTACTAGGTTTTATTAAGTTACAGCTACTTTCAAGGCAAATAAAACAATTTACTTACTGTTTTGAGTGACACTTACTTAAAATATTCAAGTAGCCACAAAGGAACCAGTGACATTAATAAACCAGTGAGAGGCAGCTGTGCACTAATGTGTTGCTAATGTGCAACATAACAACAGAAGAAGAAGAAAAGAAAAATAGTCTTAATAGACTTTTCACCCATTTTCTCCATGTCTGCAGTTATCTTTCACTAGTTGCATTCACTCATTTCCCAAAGTTACCTTGAATATTGAATTTTCAATGCAACTGAAATATTTGAGAGAACATCACATAAGCTAACGTCATAAATTAATGTTGATTTTCCTAAAATGTGTTTTTTTAACTCACCATTAAAGTGATTAGCGTTCCCTTTGGTTGGACACTTGGAACTTCGTTTATGTTACTATAATTGTCTTCCTGTTAATGCAGCAATACATCATGAAGTCAGAGTAATTTGATTTCAAGGGGAAAAAAAGGTAATAAATACATTGCTTTTAAAAGGTGATCTATCTTTTAATTAAAGCATTAGTGTATTTTATTTTGTGTTTATTAATGAACTTTTTCAAATTTCATTTTTCATAAATACCTTGAGATGCTTTTAATTGGGTGTATATAATTCTTAACAAATAAAGGGGGTACTGCTTTATCTTTAGTGAATAAGCATTTTGCAAATCCAATGTTGACCTCAGCAAGATTTGAGAAGCAGTCATCAGTAAAATGATGGGAACACAACAAAAGGTTGGAGTTATACTGCTGTGGTGTGAATGTAAAAATTTATTTTAACCACTGACCCTTCACATCCTCATCCTTTGGGAATACATGCAAAGTGTTTTTTTTCTTCCACAGTGCTGAAAACAGCATCTTCTAGATATGGCGACAACACAAACCAAACTCTTCCAGGCCACGACTACAGTTTTTGAAGGCGGGTCAAAGTACACGTTGTTCACAGGCAGCCAATGAAGACAATAGGTGGAAATTATGCAAATTTGTAACCAATGTGTTTTTTGTTTTTTTTTGTAACCTATGTAACATATCCTGTATTTGCAGGAAGTAAGGCTGGGATTACTTGTGACATGTTTTAGGCAGTTCAGAATTGGTGCTTCTCAGCACATAGAGACTCTTTCACCTAGATATCACACTATAGAGATTGTGTCTGTTCCCCGAACTAGAAAATACAAAAAACGTCCAAACCAAATTAAGAGTAACAATTTAATTGATGTTCAACAAATAAAAAACAATGATAAATATCAGGTCCCTTTCTATGAAAGCACTTTTTGTAAATGATATGATCACTGATCATAAACTAGATATGCTCTGTTTGACAGAAACCTGGCTAAAACCTGATGATTACATTATTTTAAATGAGTCTACCCCCCAAGATTACTGTTATAAACATGAGCCACGTCCAAAAGGTAAAGGGGGAGGTGTTGCTTCAATTTATAACAATGTTTTCAGTATTTCTCAGAAGGCGGGCTTCAAGTATAACTCGTTTGAAGTAATGGTGCTTCATATAACATTATCCAGAGAAACAAGTGTTAATGATAAATCCCCTGTGATGTTTGTACTGGCTACTGTATACAGGCCACCAGGGCACCATACAGACTTTATTAAAGAATGTGCTGATTTTATAGATTTTATATCGCTGGCTGCAGATAAAGTTTTAATTGTTGGTGATTTTAATATCCATGTTGATAATGAAAATAATGAAAAGGGATCAGCATTCATAGACATTCTGAACTCTATTGGGGTTAGACAACATGTCTCAGGACCTACTCATTGTCGAAATCATACTCTAGATTTAATACTGTCACATGGAATTGATGTTGATGGTGTTGAAATTATGCAGCCAAGCGATGATATCTCAGATCATTATTTAGTCTTGTGCAAACTTCATATAGCTAAAACTGTAAATTCTAATCCTTGTTACAAGTATGGTAGAACCATCACTTCTACCACAAAAGACTGCTTTGTAAGTAATCTTCATGATTTATCCCAATTCCTTAGCATTTCCAAAACCTCAGAACAACTTGATGATGTAACAGAAACTATGGACTCTCTCTTTTCTAGCATTTTAAATACAGTTGCTCCTTTACGCTTAAGGAAGATTAAGGAAAACAGTCTGACACCGTGGTATAATGAGCACACTCGCACCCTAAAGAGAGCAGCCCGGAAAATGGAGCGCAGCTGGAGGAAAACAAAACTAGAGGTATTTCGTATTGCTTGGCGGGAAAGTAACCTATCCTACAGAAAAGCATTAAAAACTGCTAGATCTGATTACTTTTCTTCTCTTTTAGAAGAAAACAAACATAACCCCAAGTATTTATTCAATACAGTGGCTAAACTAACGAAAAATAAAGCATCAACAGGTGTTGACATTTCCCAACAGCACAGCAGTAATGACTTTATGAACTACTTTACTTCTAAGATCGATACTATTAGAGATAAAATTGTAACCATGCAGACGTCAGCTATAGTATCACATCAGATAGCTTGCTATAGATCGCCTGAGGAACAATTCCACTCATTCTCTACTATAGGAGAGGAAGAATTGTATAAACTTGTTAAATCATCTAAACCAACAACATGTATGTTAGACCCTATTCCATCTAAGCTCCTAAAAGAGGTGCTTCCAGAAGTCATAGATCCTCTTCTGACTATTATTAATTCATCATTGTCATTAGGATATGTCCCAAAAACCTTCAAACTGGCTGTTATTAAGCCTCTCATCAAAAAACCACAACTTGACCCCAAAGAACTAGTTAATTACAGACCGATCTCGAATCTCCCTTTTCTGTCCAAAATACTAGAAAAGGTAGTATCCTCACAATTATATTCCTTCTTAGAGAAAAAATGGTATCTGTGAGGATTTCCAGTCAGGATTTAGACCGTATCATAGTACCGAGACTGCTCTCATTAGAGTTACAAATGACCTGCTCTTATCATCTGATTGTGGTTGTATCTCTCTATTAGTGCTATTGGATCTTAGCGCTGCGTTTGACACTATTGACCACAACATTCTTTTGCATAGACTAGAAAACTTTGTTGGCATTAATGGAAGTGCATTAGCATGGTTCAAATCGTACTTATCTGACCGCCATCAATTCGTAGCAGTGAATGAAGAGGTATCATATCGATCACAAGTGCAGTATGGAGTACCTCAAGGCTCAGTACTAGGGCCATTACTCTTCACGCTTTACATGTTACCCTTAGGAGATATTATCAGGAAACACGGTGTTAGCTTTCACTGTTATGCTGATGATACTCAGCTCTATATTTCTTCACAGCCCGGCGAAACATACCAATTTGAAAAACTAGCGGAATGCATAGTCGATATAAAAAAAACTGGATTTTAATGTTCTATAAAATAGACAGCAACGATATAAAAGTAATGTGAGTTATAATGTTAATATGTTGAATGTTTTATACTCGGTCATTGGCGTTCGCGATCGTCTGATGTGTAAACGTATCAAGTAAGCTGTAAATAAGTGATGCATCGACAGACATATACGCGCGTCCTTTCTTATCAGTGATGCAATTTATTTATCAGCTATGCATCTTCTGGTAATTGCTAACAACTGTTTCAGTTTTCGTTTAGGACTGTGTCTGCATCACTGGCATAATTGCACAAGAAAGGCACATGTGTCGTTCAGTTTTGAGTTCGCTGGAAAATCATACTGAGTAAGTGCACAGTATAGTAATTGTACTTTTATTATGCCTAGACTATATGGTAATATTATTTGTGGTTGATAGTGTTAAAATGTAGTTTCTTTGTTATTGGCATTCTGTTTTCTCATGAAGTATGCATACTATACTAAGGTACTGTGGGGAAAAAATGCTTACAATTGTTTATAAAATTATTTTAGGACCGAATACACCACTCTTGCCTTCACCTGCATCTCTCAGAGGAAGCGGGCGCTCGTTCAGTTTTCAACTCCATTCAGAATCTTAGAGTAAGTGTGCATTCACTATTTTACAGATGTTACTTTCATTTGATTTATTTGCTGTATGGTAAACTATGTTTGCTATGTGGTAATTGTGTTCTTTGTTTCGATAAATTAGTACTAGTATCAGTGAACATCATAATAATGTTAATAATGTAGTTTGTGTAAACAGCATGCTTGCTTTTTTATTTCAGATGTGAGAATAACAGTGTAAAAGAACCTGTTGCAAAGAGAGCCAAAGCAAAGCAGCCCACTTGGTCATGGAAATGGGGATTCCTGCCTGCACAAGAACCTGGACCACAGCTAAGACCATGTGATGCACACACTCCCATGAGTTATTTTATGTGATAGTTATATATATTCTAAATAAACTACAAACACAAAATATATACATTTATTTTTTCCTCACATTCTTTCTTGTAGCAATTCCCTCTCAGTCACACACCTGACAGCTCATTATGCAGCTCATTATGCGGGCCTTTGTCTTCTCAGGTGTGAATCACAGCATTATCCATGACCATTCACGCCCCCTCGCATATACCTTTTCTACATAAAAAGTGTCTTAGAAAATTTAAATCAATATATTGTTTTCTGTGAATGAGTGAGTAAGATGATTTTCACATAATTTTGAAGCAAAAACTCTAGACTTCAAGATCAGTTCTCAAAAGTCTTGTGATCAAATGTTCTGTATGTGTTTTATGGCCTTATTTCAGTGACTTTAAAATTGTAGTTTTTCACTAAGCACGCATAAACGTTGTTTTCTCAAAAACACAATCACGTACATACATGCTGCTCACATATTATTGTAGCCCAGTTTGTGCTGATTACGGTGTTATTAAACTTTAGACATTCAAATGTTTGTAAGCAACTGAAAAAAGCACAAATGTCAGGGCATGTCAAAACTTTTCCAGGCCCCAAAACACCCTCGGACCCCAGAGGGTTAAAAGCGCTATATAAATAAAGGTGACTTGACTTGACTTGCTTATTTTGGGGGACAATACATTTTTGTTTTGATCTTTGAAACTTTTCAGACTTTAACATTCACAAACAGCTATTTTACACTATACATGAAAGCTAATATTGGAAAATGCATAATAGGAGAACTGTAAGGAGTTTGCACTAAAAAAAAAACCATCTTCTCATCACAAACAGAAAACCTTAAAATATATGCTGAGTTTGACTCACCTGCCAGTACGCCACACACATACACCAGGCCTATTCTCAAAGCTCCGTGGACCATCTCTAATGGCACACCCACCAAAAGCTGCATGGCCATGTTTAGACCCAGGTGTTCAATTCTGAAACATATAAATCAACCATTAGCACAATTACAGATGTGTCTGAGGAAGGGGTTAATACTTTTCCCCCCATTATATTACAGTGTCTGTATATTTAGTTATTTCAGTATTAGCTTGATTTTTACAATTTGTTATACTCCCATTAAAATCTCAGCAATCCATTTCTCACATTGAGCTTCTGTTTACCATATTTGATGTGCTCTACATATGTGCACTCATCAATGTTTATACGTGAATAAAAGCCTTAATTAAATCTGTTTATCATATAAAGTAATCATGTCTTTTCAGAAGACTTGGATTAAATTGCTCTATTCATTTGGATTACTTTCATCATATCTCCATGTAGTTTTTGAAGGTTGTGTGGACTTTTAATTTTTTCCACCTGCCCTTATCAACCTCCAGATGTCAGTGGTGAAATCAAGAATATCTGGTAATTTAAACAGTCTATGGGTAACTTTAAATGACGCTATTAGGTTTAATTAGCAGAGAACAGTTTTTCTAATACATTTTTGTGTCTTTACAAGCTCTTGTTTCAATAAACCTTAATTTATGGAAGAACTGAAAATGCTGTTGCGGTGATCTTGCATAAAAGTTTCAAATTCTTGTCAGAATAGAGTAATGTGTCAGAGATGAGGCCTGGTAGTGGGTGTGCTCTGACACACGAGTGACCTGATTCAGGCATGAGTCATTTCCCAATTCCACCCCTATTCCAATTTGTTTAGCCCAGCTTTTTTCTAAAGCCCTGATCACTTCACCAACTGCTCTAATTCTCTGACTTTCAGCACTGCACATGGAAGACTGTTACACTTTATGTCCTTCACATCTACAACAGCGTACATGACTTTGGCACTTAAAAGTGACATATCTGGTGACAGAGAAACACTTAATTACAGGTAATGTTCCTCATGTCACATACTTGGCTCTCCTCAACATTGCCAAATAGAAATCAATCTGGACCCAGATCTAAAACAATAAGAAGCAGGACAAGGTCAGAATAATTATCCTCATAGAACAAGAACCAGAAATTCATTAAGCTTCAGATAACTGGGGCATGTAACTTAAGTCATGGTGTACGATGATCATACAGAGCCAAAAGAAAGAATCACTGACAAACAACTTATTCAGGATGCTGATGAAGACAAAAGAAACAAAGAAATGAAACTGGAGAGCCTTTAATAAAATGTCTGAACCGAAAGTGAACATCTCTGAATGTATTAGCCAATCTTTAGTATAAGCACAATCCATCTTATACAACAAGAGACAGTTCATGTCCCCAGAAACAGAATATAAACGTAACTGAATTACTTATCAGGACAATTTGCATGAATGATTTTAAATTATGAATAGGGGTCTGATCTGAAATTGATCTCTGCTTCAACAAAATCCACAGTTTCCAGAATAAAAGATAATTAAATCACAGCCATGAAAAGATTGAAATAAAAGGGACAATTGTAATTGATAAAGCAAGAACACATTTCACTCACACATTTAAGACACAGTTAAGAAAAAAAAGTATGTCTACATACAATCACATACAAATGATACTGTACTGTACACACGCACTATACTGTATACTGTACTGTACTTTAATAAATAAGTGTGACAGATAATTCTGCTGTGGCTTTGTTTAGAACTATTTTTGTTAGCTGAGCAAAAAAGAACTGGCAACATTGTGTCTCGGTATTAACTTCTTGTTTATTGAACTGATCGTAATCATGCTGTTGTTCTGAATATGACCACATGAGATCAGAGCAACAACACTCTTGCTTTGCTCCTCCAGTAAACACAAATTCGCCACTCATAAAAAAGATTGAAATATCATTTTGCGAAAGAAAGTACATTTAGAAAGTGTAAAGATGTGAAAAGATGTGTAAAGTATAGTTTATAGTTTAAATATTAAAATACATTTTCTAAGGAATTGCATTAACATGTGGATTAAAAATTGTCCCAGCAATCTGTTGTGTGGTGAGATTTATTAAAGGAATCTCAAAACTTTCAAGGACAGGACAACACACATACTCATTTTATTCTGGCATTGTCCTTTAAAATGGCCTTTATCCACCAGATTACAAGCAGAATAATACGAAGGGCAAAATATAAAGGTTAGTGGACAATGCAAATAGAACGTTTCTTTTTCTGCTCCAAACAAAATTATATTTGATACAACTGATGATCATCTGAGACCATGTGGATGATATCATGTGGTCTTTAATGCTGCAATGCTGTGACACCATCTCAGAATGAGTCATGTTCTACCCACTGCTGCTGATGAAACCAGGTTAGAGAGTGACTTTTGAAAACGCCTGTGTGTTCTACTATTGGGATTCTGTTGGTGCAGCAGACAGAGCGGATCACTAGCTTGAGTTAATTGGGAGATTACTCTGTAGATGAGTGTAATATAAAACATTAAACCCCACAGATCACAGCACTTCAGGCACATCACAGGGGCTCAAGCCCTCTATCAACCGGGGACACAGGCCTTCAATCCTCCATGTCAGAAAAAAAGCTTTTTTAAATGTGGTTTTATCACTTTGTGTGCCTGAAAATGTTGCATTGAGGGTGTACACATTTTAAAACGCCAGAAAAGAAACAGCTAATCAAAGCAGTATCTAAAACTGGCAGTGTCTAAAAGCAGCAGTGAGCCACATTTTGAGGCTGCAATACTTTTGGATGATTTGAGATACACATAACTCTTTAAATTACAACAGAGAAAAAGAAAATGTATTTGTTATGCGCCATGAAAGCCTGATATGCACCTGAGAAAGGGTTTATTCCTGCTTATTTACATCTCTTCAGATTTGTCAACTGTAGCATTGAGCTGTCAAATATTTTTGTGTAATGACCACTAAACTGTAACATACCAGTGGTTTGATGTATCTCATATCACTTAGCAGTCTCTTTCTCTTTTCATACCATTTTTTACAGTATCCCAAAAGCATTAACTAGAAAATGTAGTAAATATTAGGCTTGGACGACTCTAATATTTATTTTAATACATATATGGTACAGTAAGCATATCAAATTTGATAGATGGCTATAAGCTGGTTTTAGTGATAGATGATAGATGATAGAATTTGATAGATGGTCTGTTGCTGGTTTTAGTGGCTATTCAGGCAGGTTTGAGTTTAATTCTGCTTTTTTTCATTTTCAAGAAGGTGGATGGTTTTAGGTGGTGTTCATGGTAACTTATGCTACATGCAACGACTAACATGCTCTGGAACATGTTTTAATTGTGGGCAGAAGATCATAAGATACATGATGATTACTGTATTTTGGCTAGCTAGTAGGCAGAAAAGTTACTTAGATTTCAGTTCAATACTAATATATAAATTCATATTTTAATATTGTTGCCAGCAGTGTTAATTTTGACAGCAAATTTTGATTGAGTTTTAGTCATAGTCTTTTGACTAAAATGCCATTTAGTTTTAGTCATATTTTAGTCATCTGAATTGTTTTTAGTTTTAGTCTAGTTTTAGTCGACTAAATCTACAGTAAATTTAGTCGGCTAAAATCTAATGGGTTTAGTTACAGTGCATTTATTTGAGTATTTCTCTAAAATTTCCAAACTCATTATATAGGTTTGGTATTAAGGTTTTATCATGATAGACACCGATTTAACTGCGGTGACACACAACATACCTTTATGTTAAAATTAAATAAAACCACTTATAAAGAACAAGAACATGGCCTTCTTTTTAATGAAATGCCAATGGTTATATAGGCTAATTGCATTCTTTATAGCAACCTGTTTACCATATTCTTCATTCTTTCAAGCAGACATATTTATTTCTATAAATAAATTTAGAATAATCTTTACGGCGTTTACGTGAATACTCGTAAAAATGGACAATTTGGCATCATTTTGTGTGTAATTCTCTGTTCATGCGACGCAAAAGAGTACTCGCGTGCTGTGAGACGCACTTTCTGTGTGTATATGATTCAGTGTCTGCGCTCAGAAAACCGGACCGAATTGAGTTCTCTCTTGCGTCGTCAGATTTATCCATATGTCTGCTCTTCTCTTACTCCCACATATTGACATTTTTGAACGTTTTATGCGACGTGCAGCAAGTGTATGTTAGCTTATCTCCCGCCGGTTCATATGTACGCATCTAACCTCCAAACCACGCAGCAGATTCGTTCTGAATAAATCCCTTCCCTTTTTATTAGATGTCAATAGATGTATATCATAGTTATTGTCATTCAAAAAGAGTTTTAGTTCGTTATCGTCGTTATCGTCGGTAAAAAAAATGTCCTTGACGAAAATTATTCGTCAACGAAATTAACACTGCAACTGCAGTCACCCAGATCCAGTCTGTATCCAGACCAGATGGTGGATCAGCACCTAGAGAGGACCTCTACAGCCCTGAAAGACAGCGGAGACCAGGACAACTAGATGAGCCCCAGACACAGATCCCCTGTAAAGACCTTGTCTCAGACGACCACCGGGACAAGACCACAGGAACCAGATGAT